TTTTGGGTAGGTAGATCACTTTCACCTCTCGCCATTTATAGGGTATGTCCAGGTAGGCTCTGAAAATTCTGCAAAGATGTGTAGTTCTTTTTGCATTGGGACCTCTTCGCATAATTTTCTCTAGGAGTCCCTTTTTGCTTTTCGGATTTCTTTGTTGTACTGCGTTAATTTTCCTTATATAGTAGGTTTCCCAATCTTGGTTGGATTTTGATTTATTAAAAAGTTTTCTGACCTTAGGGCCCAAGGTCTCTCTAAGTACTTGTTCCACCAACTTGTTTTACTCTTGTCTTTATTTGTTTCCTCTCGACAGTTTTCCTGGTAAGCGGCTATCATTGCCTCGCTTACCTGTTCCACTGCCGTTTTATATTGCTGCTGTATTTTGACTTGACGAGGGATGGGATCTCCCACAGAGGTCTTATGTGTCTGTGATCGGAGCCTGCTGATGGCTCTTCCGACACGCCAGATTTTTTATCACTCATAAAATTTGTAGTCAAGTTCAAATCTAAAACTTCCTTTCGTACAGAAGTGACAAACGTAGGTATGTTGACTTTAGGTATTTATATAGATATTACTAACTCTTCACCTAAGATAAATTGCAGTAGGGAATCACCTCCCTCCCACTGATGTTCGTGCTTTCCCAGATCGTGTGGTGTGCATTGGGACCATAACCTATTGTTAGTTGGAGATTCCTTTCCTTTGGTTTGCAACTCACCGGCGAAGAAGGAGGAGCAGCATATAACACAACTCTCCTTCGTTGATGTTGATAGAGTAGCTGTAATTAACAATATTATCGCTACAAAGCCTCGGGAATAGTGTACATTCTAGTCTCTTACTATACAATACGATACATGCCCTTGGTCTAATCGATTGTAGGTTGTATAATAACTTGGTCGATTCTTTGGTCATCCTTTGTCAGTAGTTTGGAGTGTTTCCCGGGGATTTCAAGCCGGTTTCACAGCAAGGTATTTACTCCAAGAAGTACACGCCGGAGCTTAAAAGGCAATCTCGTTAAAGGTGGTAACCTATTCTGTAGGTACCAGCCCAACAATTAAGCCCTCGATCACTAGATGATCACGACTAAACAAATTACCAAATAATTTATATTTAGTAAATTTTATTTGAATTTATTTTTAAAAAATATGACGTAATATAAGGTGACCTATACTCATAACATAACGCTGTTTGGGCAAATTACAAATTTGATAAAACTTGCGAAACATTATTTTCACAATGGCGGCTACGTCACCAAAGTTGTCTCCAAAACCAATCACAAGATTTTCGTGTAAGTAATTTTTTTTTCGGAAACATCAAATTTGCACCAAAATAGGGAATCTATACTAGAGTTCGAAAATAAATAGGAGTGACTCATACCCGCTGTCTTCGTCTTCCTCAGTTAAAATAAAGCGGTTGTTTTTGTCTTGGTCATTGACGAAACTCGCTCTGAGTCACTCTTATTTATTTTCGAACTCTAGTATGATTTAAAAAGTCACTAGCATAAGAGACTAGCGCTTTTGAGACAAGCTACAGTTTTAGCGCATTCGGCCAAGCTAGATTTGACGTGTGATTGTTTACTAAAAAAAGATTAAAATGTTTTATTAATTATAATAATAATAGATATGTATATTGTATATTGTATATTGTATATTATTAAATATTATTATGTAGCATGTTATCATTATAGAATACAAATGTGCAAATATAAATTTAGGGATAATGGCAAATATGAAAATATGTACACGTTTATTATTATTTACATATTTATATGTACCTACTCTATGAATAATGGAACTCCCTAACAAATTATCGGTGACGTAATAAAGAATAATAAATTCAAGGCAGTTGGTTGTTTTTGTTAGGTACTTTGATTTATTGTACTTCCTTTTTTCGTTTTCGTGCTTTAGCTCACCATCTAGCATCGGTGACTGGCCAATCGCAGAAAAAATACCCACAAGTATAATAGAGCGGAAATATTTTGTAAGAAATATCATAATGCATATAACGCGCTTAAAATTGAGAAGAGGCACGGTTGAAGTGTGACTGTTTTTTTATTTCTCTGAGTGTGACGAAGATGGAGAATAATTATTTCACCCCTTCCTGGAAATGATGGTTTTATGCGCATCCGTTGAGTCACCTACCAATCTAGCTATAACCTTTTGCTCAGAAAGCATAGAACCGACCCATCGTACTACTAACGTCTCGGCTCCCGGCCTTTCCAGGGCTTGGCACATCGAGTTGAAGGAGGTGTTGTCAAAAGCTCCTTCCATATCAATGAATGCTCCCATGGCGGATTGCTTTAGATTCAGCACCCCATCTATCTTGTTTATTAAACGATGGAGAGCCGTTTCGACAGACTTTCCGGACTGGTATATAAGGGGCTGCAACGGTTGTTGCACCAGTATCCCGTCTCTGATGTGTCGATCCACCAACCTCTCCAGTGCCTTAAGGAGGAAGCTGCTGAGGTCGAAACGATTTTGCTTTGGTGTAGTCATCTTTCCCTGGTTTTGGGATGATTACTTACAATCCTTACAAATCTCCAGGCTACTGGTATGTAGAATCCAGCTAAACAGAAGCGGAATATCTGCAGTAGGTGGAGTAGATCCAGCCCTTTTTTGTAGTAGGGCCGGAAATATCCCGTTCTCACCTGGGCTTTTGAAGGACAAGGTTTGGATGGACCATGTTAGCCTTTCATAAGTAACAACCTTGGAGGACGTCCTGTAGTCCATTGTTACCTTTGGACCACTTATTTATTTATATACCTACACAAATAACTATTTTCTCAATATCCATGACTGCTGCTGTCATATCTGCTCTTCTCCAAGGCTCAATTTTGGAACCTTTATTGTTTACTTGGTATATACTGCAGATATGTCTACAACACACTACAACTGTTATATTTTTTATTATGTCGAATGCAGGCTTATGTTGATGATATTCAAATATTTTGCTTTTCGGAACAGGAAACACCAGACACGCCGCTGAATGTATCAATAACGATTTATTTTTAAACCACGATGATGCTGTTTTTTTGGGCCAGTAAATGATTACAGATAAAAAATGATAAATATTCCGTTTTCGGTTTGCTTGCACCTTTGCACTCAATTTGCTATGAGAGTACGTCCATCCTGTGTTATTATTCAAAATCAGAAATACTTGGGGTCATCATCGACGATAAATTACGATTTGTGGAGCATGTCAGCAGGTCGATCCACGTATGCTCCTTTGAGGACACTATTGGCAAAATATGAATACTAAATTTTTAAATTTATGTTTGATAACCTCTGGCTTTTAATTATTGCAATCTTGTGTATTTCCCTTGTTTAGGCACGGTAAATTGTAGAATTGTAAATTTGTGTAAAGGAGTGGGCTTTTTAAGCCTCAGCTACTGCAACCTCCTGTGGATCTATTGCGGATCCCCTGTAGCTCCCTAAAGTGCGCTATCTAGACCGGTCTCTTGCATTACCCTTCATAATATAGCCTTGATAGGGGCATCTTCGTGTAGCTTTCAGCTTTTGGTTTCTTAAGGAACCAAATCGAATGTGGCGATATTTTTACCGGTAATGAGTAATGACTTATTTCGATGGAAGTTGTTTTTTGACTGATATTCACAAAAATACAGGAAAAAAGCAACCACTACCAGAACTGTGGAACATCCTCCAGACAACGAGTTAATTCAGACCTTTCCAAAGCGTAACAGTTTTCCACGTCAACGTTAACTAAGCCTTTTAAAATAAAGACAAAAAGGACCATACAGGGTGTTCTGATCCTTTTTTTATAGAAAATATGGCACGTCAAATTACGTCGGTTGGTCACAAATTTCTTAGTAAAGGTTTTCTAATTGCGGAGATATTCAAGTGTGAATATTTACACATGGACCACATGGCTATATCAGCAAAAAATATTTACGTATACGTAAATATTCTTTGATATCCGTATCTCCGTATCACGACTGATAACGTCATTGTTCTCTAAAGACACAGAACAATTAACCATTAACATCCAACTTGGATAAGTCATGGCTATGCAGGATAGACTTAGAATTATGATTCGTGGTAAAAAAGTGATTTAACTTTTATAACTACCTCTTTAATAGTAAAAATTAGTTGCATTTACATACAGGGTGTTCCATCTAAGACGGTTTCTTCCATTAATCTGTTATTGTAAATTTAATTAATAAAAATAAAAGTTGTCTTGAATCATTTGGTGCATATTTACAGAAATCCATTATACAGGGTGCTCCATTTCTTCTGGACTCTACCTATTGTCGTTATTTTAAATGGAACACCCTGTATATTTTTATTTCTTTGTCCAATTTTAGACAGTCTTTAAAACGGGTCCGTTTCTGTATTGACCAAAACGGAAGACATTTCCAACAGTTACTGTAAATTAACAGTTGCCCCCCTCTAAAAATTTTTTTGCGGACGATCGATTGGTCGGTATTACAAGGGTCGCAGATCATCCTAAAACGTGTGTACACAGCGACAATTTTATTATTTGTTCAATTTTAATACTGTAATATTACGGCAGCTGTTTTAAGTGTACCTACATTTCTAGTTGCAGAACAAAATAAGGGTATCATGTCTCTTGCAGAATGATTTGAAATTCCCTCGTGCTTTTTTCGTGTCGTCTGCCGTAATATTACTAGATAACACGTCCTACCGTTTCCGACGTTTGAGTTCATTTTATTAGGTAAATGATAAATAATTATCATTAAAATCACTTTCAAAATTAACTGCTTATTTTTTCTGAAACATAAAACTACTGGATTTAATATAATTTGTTTCGGAAAGTTGAATCCAATTTTCAGTGTTTACACATTCTTTTCAACCAAGTTAAAATATCTTTTTTTTAAATTCTTTTCACATGGAAAAGTTTTTCGTTTGAAATTTCCCAGAAAATTGATTGTCTTGATAAAATTATTTGCATACTTTTAAACTCTAAATCCGCCTGTAACAATCTTAAATATATCCGTTTGTTACCCCGAATAGGAGAATTGAGGTATGGACGCGCGGTTGGATGAGCATTGGCCCGGACAGCTAAAGGTCCCGGGTTCAAGCCCCGGCTGCGTCACAAATGTTATTTGGGCAAGTCGTTTTAGAATTGCAAGGATCCGGAAACTTCCCCGACAAAATCTCATTGACAAAATTCCCCAAATGAAAATTTCTCCGCCACTGTTGTTGTGTTAGATATCTCTCTTAATAAACCCCGCTTTCTTATGTGTGTGACCAGGTTAGTTGCTGTGTTAAATATCTCTTTCTAATAATAGAAAAATTTTTCCTTTAGGAAATTTTCCAATCGAGAAATTTTCTAATCGGAGATTTTCCATTCGGAGAATTTTCCATTCAGGGAATTTTCCAGTCGGGGATTAGTTTTCTAGGAGTTTTCTGTCGATGAATTGTTGTCGGGGAATTATCCTAGACCCTTGCAAAGAGACGTCAAATATATTAATTGTGTAGGTACCAAAACTCATATTTGACCATTTGACGCCTTCTTGCAATTCAAAACTTATCTATATGACGTTTTCAGGTAATTATAAACACCTTATAATTTGTGTTTGAGGTTAGGATACGTTTTTAATATAACGAAACTTATACATTTCGATAATCTTTATTAACTTACGAGTAGTCTGGCATTTTTAAAAAAGGAGTGAACGTAATTAAATAATTCGATAGCGGGCCGCTTTCTGAAGGGCCACATTTGGGCCGCGGGCCGTGGGTTGCCCATGCCTCCTCTAAAGCATTACAAATAACTTTTTTGACACCACGAAATCCTCCAGTAATTGACATCATCATCTTCGTGATTGTTTCGAGACACCTCGTAGTATAAAATAAAATGTTGTTAGGAAGTTCGGGTGTCACAATAATTTTATTGTGATATTCTATTCCGATTGCACTGGAATGTTACAGCGGATGAACACGTCATAATATACGATAGCCGGATAGTCATAACATATGGCCTTCTAATAATAATTTTAGACCATCCCACAAGGTTTATTACTGCATTATTACGGAAATGTTTAACGCGTCGTGTCTATTATTTTATGTTGATATTGACAGTGTTTACGGCGTTAAAACAAAATTTACATAGGCCAGCATAACACAACAAACGCCCTAAACTAAAAATAGAAATATTGATGGTTCATTCTGTCCCATGTTCATTCTGTATGTTGATACAGGTTATCCGTAGAATTATATAAAAATTCAAAAAAATATGTTGAGACCAATTTATTGTATATCCATAACTAACAGAAACTTTAAGAAATGAATGTTTGATATTAATTGATTGATTAATTAATCTACAGGGTGGGTTTAGATAGAGTATGAAAAAAATACGATGACAAGTTCCCTATAAAAAATTTTCCGACAGACCCTCCCTACGAAGATATGTACCCCTGAAGACGCCGCTGGAAATCGGATTTATTTGAATGAACTTTTTAAAGTACTCTATAGAATTTTATAAAAGTTAATATGATGGACACTATACTATAAGGACCTTTAGAAATAATGTCCTTGACATATACCTACCTTGTTAAGTTTACCACTAAGCCTTACAACTTAATGCTTAAATTTTTAAATTTTTAACACCCTGTGTAATAATGATTTAAAACAATAAAATCAGGTACCTACCTAGCTTAAACTTTAGAATAAAAACTACTCCATCGAGATTGGGACCGTTACTTACCGTTCTTTCTCATGGTAGACACATAGACAGTGCTGCCGTTCATAAAACCAGAAACCACTACTCGGTAGTTATTTGGGGACATTACTTAGGTTTCCTGTGATTTGGTGTTTGGGACACCAGGACGAGAAGAACCCGTTTCCATGCGGAAAATTAGTAAACTGCTAAGAATTGTCTATGCGATGGTTCGAGACTAGATCACGATAGCTAGTGACCGAATGAAGGCCATATGAAGGCTCGTTGTGATCGGAAAGCCAGGAGGGTCAAGGTAGAAGATCGAGTTTGGTTGTACAACCCGCAACGAACGAAAGGAAGATTTCCTAAACTTCATCCGCCTTGGGAGGACCTTATTCGGTTATAGCCCGGATTAACGATGTCGTATACAGAATTCAACGAACTACGAAGTTCAAGATGAAAATTGTACACTTGGATAGACTGGTATACTGGAAGTATGCTGAAGACACTGAATTTCCTGATCGGGCTGACGTTCAGGCTTAAGGAGGGGCCGCGTTACGTTACCATTTTATCTCAGCTTCGAAGCTAACCAGGATAAATACAGAAATTTGCACGAGTGTCATGAGTGGTTCCAGTTTAATTTAAGAAATGGCTAGGGGGCATCGGTAAAGGTGAAAAGCTGGGATATCATGCAACTATATGGAAGCCTCGAGATTGTTGAAGAAAAAGAAAAAGAATGTTTTGGAAAGGATTATAGAAACTGGGGAGTGAACAAAATCTAAGAACAGTAAAGTGAACTAAGCAGTGAATTTTAAAATAATCTTTGATGTCAGTAATAATTAATAAATATTAATTAGTAAGTTAATAAATAGTGTTAGTGTTACCATTGTGTCCAATTCTCGGATCCACGGTTCAAAGGGGTAAACGTAACAATATGATCAAAACATTAATATACAATATGTAGGTATATATTTTTATCAGATAAATACAATTTCGGCCAATTGCCGAAATGCTGCACTCACAATTTTTACGGCCTGTAATGCCTATCATCATGGCCGGATTAAGCTTTTATTGGGCCCGGGGCTATTAAAGTTTTAAGCGGCCTTTTATAAATAAAATTCAAAAAATAGAAAAAACTTATATTCCCGATATAACAAAATATATTGTTATACATATTTTACAAAAATACGTAGATCAAAATACCTTTTTTCGTAATTTAAGTTTAACAATTTCTTGTATAACATCATCAAATTCTAATTCCTCCAGAACATTCCTTTCTATGCACATCAATGTTAATGAAGACAGGTGTTCCTCCTGCATTGTTGTTCTATATTTATTTTTAATGTAAACCAGTTTTGAAAAAGAACTCACAATTAGCTATGCTATATAGGTATTTTGATATTAATCACTTGCTAAGATCTAAATATGCATTACAATGTCGTTGTAATTCATTGACCAGCTTGTCTATTATGACTAAAAACGTTTGTGTTTGAAATATAAATTTCTCATTTAAAGGCTACCGTCGAGTGCCTATTTCTTTTGGAGTTTAGATCTGCCCATAGAATACTCATAGGTATTCTTCCTGTGGTAGTAAATTTGTAGCTTCTTTTTCAAACGAATGAAATTGATCTCGGACAAATAGAGAGGAAATTTTTGCTATTAGCCTTTTCAATGTGTTTTCCCCAAACTAAATTCCAGACCTGTTTTTTGGACCCGATTACTTTCATGGACAGACTCAAATTGAAGACTGAAGAGGAAAGAAGAGGAGAAGGAAAACTTGGGTACAGTAGTACAGTACGACTATTTTAATTTTATCACAGCACACATAACACATTGTGTTTGTTTTATCTGTCTTGTACTAATGATTTGCGATGCGGCGGTCTTTCACTATCGCCTTTGGTGTCGTCGCCTCGCACGTGCACTTGTCGGCGATTTTGAAAAGCTTAATCCGGCCATGATTATTCCTTGATATGTTTCGCCTGAGAATCTAACTCTCCATTTTATCGATTTGCACGATAAATTGAACAACCCGTTTTAAATTTCCCTTACCCTTAGAAATTCTGAGTAGCCCCTTCCCTATTCAAGCACGATAAATGGAACAAGCCGATCCAGAGCTATCAGATTCCCGTAATGCGTTCAATGAAAGTGTTAATGGACCCCATAAGAAAAATCAAGATCATTTTCAACGGCCAGGGAATGCTATGCACCCTTTCAGCACCAAATATTTACTCGATTTTACCTTCTTCTGTGTGTAGTGAACTGATATTATAATCTACAAGACTTCGGGTGAACTACCTCGTATATCGTGACAACAATAAGTCCCCGATTTTAACATTTCATTCCCTTTTTATATTGAATTGACCCATGTCAAAATACGGCGTATATCAGTTTACTTTTGGACGTCTGCTTGGATTAGCGCCTGTCTCGAGTGGATACCGTTTTCGTTTACAATGGCACGTTGATTTTCTCTTCTTGGGCCCTTTGATTTGTCTTCAGGCAAAGTGAAGTGACCAAAATTTTGTTATAAAGTTACCGTATACAATATATATTGCCGTCTGCTTTTAGGCCAACCTCGAAGTTGTAAATTTAACCCTTATTTTGATGCTAAGAAAAATATCCGCGATATCTAATCAATTGTCTTAGGGACTTGAGAATAACCAAAACAATATAACTGACATTATACGCACTTATGCAAAAAAATATTTGTATTCTACGCAAAAAATCCAGTGGCAATCCGTGAAATTCGGACCATAAAATATCTGTTTTAGAAATTGGGACCCAACCCAAACTTACATAATATTGTTTACACCAAGTACTGAATATTGCTATAAAGAAAATTTAATTTTTAGTTTGTAAAAAGTTAAAAAAATGGTTGGCTTCACCAGCTTATATTTTCAAAAACTAGACTTTAATTTGGCAAACATTTTGTAGGTAATAATAATTTCTAGAGAAATTGAGCGTTTAAAATAAATTTTATTAATTGTTTTATTATGTTTTAAATGTTTTACAAATAAACGTTTTTTAAATTTGTTTTTGAAAATATAAGCTGGTCAGCCAACCATTTTCTCAACTTCTTTTCGCAAACTGTAAATTGAATTTTCTTTTCAGAAATACTCAATACTTGGTTTCAAATAACATTAGGTACGTAATAATTTGGTTTGGGTTCCATTCTCTGAAACTAAAGCGGGATCCAGGGCAATGGGGCAATTGCCCCCCCTGAGCAAGTTCAAGATTTGTAAATCAGTACGTGCTATGTCGTTTTTTTTTAGCTAATTTTGTGGAAGATAGGTAAAATCGCAAAAATTGCCCTCCTCAACGAAATCCTGATCCGCGCCTGAACTGAAATATGGCATCGTCGAAATTCCACCGATCGCCACTGAAAGAATTCAAATTATGTAGATTTTGTATGTTTTATAGCTTTCTTAATCCAATATTAA